ACTTCTGAAAATCAGCATCCTTAGGCTTGTAAAAACCTTGGCTCAAATGCTTTTTCTGTTAGAACACATTTGTACCAGTGCCTCTAAGCTAAAAAGAAAATATGTGCTTCTTCTATGATTATAAATATCTTGTATTTTACTAAATAATTTGGTCATATGGGGAAGTATTTTTGTACAAATATCCTGACATAAACTTGGTGTTCCAACAGTTCACGTGCGGGTGAGAGTGTGTACAATCAATCTGATTGTTAGCCTCCTGTGTTTTACAGATCTATTTAGACCTGTTCAGAACAGACCCCTTGAATTATTAGACCAAGTTTCTGTATGAAAATGTCAGGTTTGATGTTCTAAGTAAATGCTAGTACTCATGAAACATGTAAAACTACTACCCTTAGGGACTATACTTCTCTGTCCACAAAACAGTTTTAAGCATGTGCTATACACAAGTTTAGCACATAGTATCACAAACTTCTCCACGTTGAATATTTAGATGGCCTGTTTAGATTCCATTTAGAAACACGGTGTTGCATTTGTACGGTAGAAGGAGTATTTATGACGATTCCATGAATGCAAGTCACTCTAAACTGAGGGCATGGCTGTATCAAGTGTTGACATCTTGTGTAACAAATGCAAATTATACACATGAAAAAAGAAAAATGGCATTTTTTATGTATTGAGCAAGCAGATAGTATATTCAGTCCCATCAATTTTTAGTGACTCAGGATAAGACTATTTGAACTTCAAGTTGCATTGTATTAAAATATCAGACATCTTGCAGGATGTCACCAATACAGTGAGTTTCATTAATTAAATATACTTACTGATTAGTGATTTACCAATATTGAGTTCCGTATGCAAAAAGTCAATGAAGAGTTTAAGTTGACTGCCTTTCCTAGCAGCAGCGGTGTGGTGCAGCAAGGCTCAGCCCTGGCCGGCTGGCACCCGGCGCTGCCTGTGCCAAAATGGTTGGGCCCGGCCTGGCTCAGTGAAGTGCTGTGTGCCTTCGGGCAGCTCCAGGCTTCCTGGGCTGTCACTCGGGGCCCCATGCCACTTGCAGGGACTGCCTGTCATGCCTGGCTGGGTTCTGCATGCACAGAACCAGCCCAGCCTGACGGCACATTGGGCTCGTGCACGCAGGACCCAGCCCAGCATGACACACAATCCCTGCAAACAGTGCCAGCCCCTGGGTGACAGCTCAAGCAACCTGGAGCTGCCTGAAGGCACATGGCAGTACGCTGCACTGGGCCAGGCCCACGCTATGTGGCACAGGCAGCTGGGAGATTATTTATGAGACAAAAACACAAATATCAATGACAACAAGAATAAACACATGACCAGCACCTAGATATCAAGCCTTACAGTTTTACACACATACATATGGAAATAGGTACCAAACAAGGACCACTCACTTGCTATATCCCAAAAATCTCAGTTGACTCCCACTCTACTGTCAGATAACACTCAACCTCCTAGGAAGTGGGAGAATGAGACCCTTCGCTTGATCACTCTTCAACCCTTATACCTTTCTTTAGCTGAGGATCTTCGAGGAGCAAGTTCAATCAACAGCAGTCAGTCAAAAACAGTCAACATGAGAAGTCTCAAACACCACACATACCAAAACCCAACAACCAGCTGGAACTACACACAGTCCTTTGGTCAACATCTTTTATACTATCCAATCATACCATATTCTTTAGCCAGTCATTGTTCTTTCTTACCTATAAGCATCTTGTCAGTCAGACATGTGATACATTTCTCTCTCTGTCTCTCTCCAATCATCTTTCAGACCACCTCAGTCAGGTAGCTGTCAATTATCTTGCACTTTTCCAACACTTATTTCTAGGAAGTGTGTATGCGCCAACTAATGTCACTGGGCAGATTTTCCTAACCAGTCAAAAGTTCAAATATTCCAGCAATTTCTGGAGATTACATCAATGTAGGCACATCTGCACATGTGCAAACCATCAGTAACCATCAAACTGAAAACCAGAGGCTATACCTTTGGTGGTGCATGTGTTTGGGGTTCAACCTAAAGCTCTGACCTGGAGAAACTTCCTAGTTATTTGCTCCTGGCTTTCGTTACTCTTGAAAAAGGTTTCTATCTGTCATTGCATGACTGTTTCTAAGAAGCAGACACGACAACCTCCATAGGCAATATTCCTTGAGGAGTAGTAAGACAGTGGCATAAACAGGGAGACTTGGCCATCTAAAATATAAAGGGGAGCACAGCATGAAAGGAATATGATTAAGTCTTGGACTGATATTTGTAGTGGTGTGTTCTGAAGTATCCAGTACTTGTAAAGGATTACAGTAGTGCAAGAGCTCTACATCAGTTAAAACTTCTTGTTCTGATAAAGCTCTGCAGTGCTCTAGAACAATGGTGCTCAATCTTCAGGCCCCACAGGCCAGATAAGTGGCATGGGACTTGGGTCAGATCAGGCCTTGCACTGCCTCTGTCCAGACCCCTACATCTGGACTGGCCCTGTGCCATCCCTATACAACTCCACACCACTCCCACTTCCCAGTATAGCAGCTCAGTGCTGACCCCACACACCAGGATCAGACTCAGGGGTCCCATGCCACCCTGCCCAGCCCTGCCTGCCAGGATCAGGCCCCATGCACCACAGAGCCTTGCTATCCAGCCTGCAGGGCTCCCTGCAGGTCTGGAAATTTGTCAGCATAAAAGTGGTACCACTACTCTCCCATCTCCAAGGAAAGCCCCATTGACCAGATGACCTGATGTCAAGGACCAGATCTGGCCTGCAAGCTGGGGTTAAGCACCTCTGCCCTAGAACTGAGCAAGACATTTGCTTATGTTACAATATTTAATTTCCTTCATAGTTCATGACATTGGAATTTAATATCAGAGATTCAAGTGTCTTTTTAAACAAATTTGATTTCCCTGTTAAGCTTATGGGCACTCACTGCTGAATATGTTGAAAAACAAGTTCTTGAACTAGACTTCTAGATTTCCTATTATCAAATCTCAGTGGGTGCAGCTACACATGCCATTAATGTGATGTGATAAACTCCAGCGCAGTTTGTGCTGGAGTCAGCTGCTCCTGGGTGCAGCATCTGTATGTGTGCCCAGGACTGCAGCACTTTGAGCTGGGGCAAAGCAGCCCCAGGCTGGCAGGGGATCAGCACTGGGCTCTGGGTGGTGGCATTGGGGGACTGGCTAGGGCATGAGGGTGCTAAAGTGCAAGCTAGGCAGCAGGCAGCCCCCACACTCATGCCCCAAAGAGCTCCTGTCACTGTCTACATGTGTGTTTCAGCACATATAATACTCTGCTGTAAGATAGTCCCTGACAGTACTATTCTACAATAGAGTTAGTTAGTTTCCTGTGCCCCAATACTGGTGCATGTGTAGCCAGTGACAGTTTACTGAGGAGCCAAATAGTCAGCTCGGCAGTAAAGCACATTTTGTAGATGCACCCAGTATCTGCTTTATCTCTTATCTGCAGTAGTTTTACAGCAGAGGGACTTCACTAATGTTAGTGGATATGCTTTTTATTATATGCTTGTGTAAATGTTGGGTTTACTTGTGGGTTTTAGGGATTGAGAGTCAGTCTTTCTGAAAGGACAAGACATAGTCCCATCTGTTATAAATGGTGCAATATCAGATACTAAAGTAATGATGCTATATTTTAAAGTACAAGGAATGTAGTGTGTTGTGTTTTTATTCAGTAATGGTGAAGTACTGGTAACAGATTGCTCATAATTGTGGTATACTTTACAAACTGTAAAATCCATTGTGCTAGTTTATAGACTCTGCTCTGGGGTTGTTTGAGGGGTAAGTGGAAATGCCTTAAAATTTGTTTTCAATACACTGTAGCATTTCCTGGCATGTACACATGGATTGGCTGTCTCCAGATAACTGATACAATTTTTTTTAAAAAAGAGATGTTGGGTCAGTTCCTCCATTGGTATAAATTTACACTGCTCTACTAAGTTCAGTGTCACTATGCTAGTTTAACAAAGCTGAAGATCTGCTCTGATATTTATTTCCAAAATACATGTATATATGTATAACAATGTGCATGGTATTATCCTCATTTGGCTTATTCTTCTTGACATTTTTTATGTACTTTGGTATGTGTCTTAATTAAAAAAATGAGTTTAGATATTCATTATGAGATTTATCATTCAGTGAGATGATTTTGAATATAATTACAGAGACAGGAATGCAAATAGTCTTGGATTCTCTGTGTTTAATTGATATAGAAAGTCATACTGCATTCACAACCAACTGCAGAGCTAATAAGACTCCAAGACTGATTTGTTGTCATGGATTATGTTCAGTTTTACACCTAAAACAGGTCAATGTAAAATAAATAATAAATACATAACACAAGTCAGTGACAGAATAACATGCCGTCTTCAGAAGGCCCCATAAAGTACTTACATTTGTTGAAGGACTGAAACAGTATTGTGTCACACAAGATAATTGATTTAAAAAAAACCCAAACATCTGAATCATGTCAGTCATATTGCAGCTGGGAATGTAAATATCCATAACTTTACATATTGAGACTGCTCTGCAATGTACTGGCAATCTGTTGTATTTTGAGTGATGTCTCAACCTTATTGCTTGGTTTTTCATGATTTAAAAAAAGCGCTACTCATCTCTGTCACATTCTGTTCAGGATAAAAGGCTTTTCACTTTTCTTAGCAAGAATCAGACAGAATGCTGCTGGAACACAGAGAATATGCTGCTGTCTGTTCAAAATACAGCCTAATGAGCCAGACTAAATATAGTGGACTGTAGAGCTCTGGAAAAAATGTGCTTTTGATGGATCTGTGGATCAGCTACAGCTTTAACTTCTAACTAGTTTCATTTTTCATCTTTACAATTTCCATTTCCCCTTTTTGTTGATATAAATTACATTTCAATGAATGGACTCTCCTGCATCTGTGACAGTTTTGTGTGCTCTGATAAGGACACCGTGGATCTGGCTCTTGTCCTAGTCATAATTTTTTCATGTTTTTTTCTCTCTTAGTCGCGACCTATTCCCTCACACCTCACTTCAGCAGTAGCAGAGAGTATCCTGGCTTCAGCCTGTGAGAGTGAAAGCAGAAATGCTGCAAAAAGGATGCGACTGGATAGACAGCAGGTACGATGTTATTTGTGGGGTCTACCTCATCCATATCTATAATTAAGTAAAATCAAGATAATTTGCAATTCTTGTTACATGAAGGAATGGTGCATGTCAGATATGTCCTGTTAGCCAGATTAATTAAACATTTATTGATATTTAAATAAATATGTGCAATATATGAAAATGCCTTACAGATTTATATACATATGGGGTTAGCATATCTACTGTACATGTATGGATAATATTGTACATTAGTATGTACTGTATACTCTATATATAATGTGTGTACCCATAGTACCTATATATACATATGCATGCATGTTAACATGTATAATATGCAGCATAATGTATATAAAACTTAAAATATAAACTATATGTATATATGTACATGTACACACACAAATCTTTTTCTGTATAGTTGTAAAGATAACAAGTATTCTCATAAACTACGTAATTTGTATGATGTGCTTCAAGTAGAAAGGTTACTGGATTATTTCCAAAACTATAGTGTGCTCTCAAGTTCCTTGTTAATCAGTGTCTTAACATCCATATCAATTATTTGTCCATATATGATTCAGTATCTAGCATACTGCACGCTAAATTAAACTATTGCCTTTTATTTGCTGAAAACTGCATGTTTCCTTTCTTAACTTCTTGAAACAAAAGTGGCAGTCAGTTGTAAGGTTTTGGGTATTAACTGCTCTAATGACGTGTCTGATGAACTTTTCGTGTACACAGTTTTTGGAAAAGATGGACATTTCCCCCTTAGAAACAGCCTGCAGCCTTTTTTGACACGTGTTTCTAGAGCACTGGAGTTTGGAATTATCTTTACAAAGCTGTTAGCTGGGACACTGGAAATGGATATCACTATGTCACTTTTTTATGTATTTTGTCTTTTGTGATACTTTCATTAATGCCATGGAAATGCCTTAAGGTTTACAGATTTTAGTGAAAGTAAAAAGAAAAAAATCACACTTTAAGTACAGTGTTGGTATTGCTAAAATTGATTGTGAAGATTTTATGACTTGGCATCAAGTCTGATCATAAAGAAGAATAGGTATCAAATAATTCTCCAAAGTGCTTCTCTCCAAGGTATGAAAGGACAATTGAAATAACTCTTTAAAGGTTTAGGCAGTAGCAGATCTTGGTATAATAAAGATATTTGCCAGGTTTAAAAAAATTCTTTCACCTGAAACTGTTGGTACCGGTGACTGCAGTTTCATTTCAATCTAAAATTCATAAATTATAGCACTTGAAGCCCCTGATTAATTATGTAACTGGAAAAGCAGGTAGCCAAAGCAATAAAGACTTGTTTGGTTTATGGTATTTTTCCAGTCCTATCCATATGCTTTGGTATTTTGGGTTTTTTTAAAGCAGGAACTTGCAAAGCAGCTGCACCTACAATGCATACAGCATCATCATTCAGGGCTGCCAAATGTCAGTTCAGTAAAAAATGTTGTTTTGTTTGTCCTCAAATTATTTGTGAATCCAGGTCACTTTTGCTGAATAGTTCTTACTGGAAAAAATGCAGCTAGATTCATAGCCTAATAGAAAAATAAGGCTGGCAGGAACCTCAGGAGGTCTTCTTGCATACCTCATAACCTAGTCTTAAAATTGCATGAGCAACCCTCATCCACAACTACCAGTCGCAGTACCTGAGAACATCAAGAACACCCTAACTTACCACAGGTAAAGCAGGGAGGCAGAGGCACTGCAAGGACAGGGAGAAGTTTGTTAAAATACACTCAAGAGCCAATGAAAAGTTCCATGCCCCCTACTACAGAGGAAGGCAAAAACCCTCACAATCCATGGCGGTCTGACTGTGGGGTAAAATTCCTTCCTGATTCTAAATGTGGCAATCAATCTGACCCTGAGTGGAGGAGCAGGACTCTCTAGCAAATTATCTCTGTCTTTTCTTTTTTTCTTTCTTTTTTTTTCTTTAAGTCCTAGCAGAGGCACAGGCACACCCCAGTCGAAATTCCCAGCCATGGCAGCAACAGCCGTAGAAGGAAATAAAGGAAGGAAAATAAAACCCCCTAACACCTGTAGCAAGAGAGGGGATAAAACTCCTTCCCAGGCCCATGTGGCAATCAACAGATCCAAGAAGCATGGAAAAAAAGCCAAAAGCCTCCACTCTGTACTGAGGTTTGGATAGCGCAAGCACAACTCCATGCATCACAGACCCTAACCTAGGATTTGTGTTTCTGTCATCCTATCCCCTCCATAACCTTGTCCCAGCAATTTAAACTTGTTTCATTATCAAGCCAGTTATAGTTTCCAAAACATCTGTGGAATCCCAACTGTTGCTTCTTACAATCCACTCCAGAAATTGCTACTCCTAATCATCACTGAACAATGCTTATCCAACCTATTCTTGAAAAACTCCAGTGAAGGAGACCCCACAGCTTCCCGAAGCAGTTTATTCTACTTCCTCAGTGCTCTAACAGTGAAGACTTTTTCTCCTGTTATCCTGTCTAAAACTACTTTGCTGCAATTTCAAGTCTTTGCTACACATCCTAGTAGCAGTGAGGAAGAAAAGATGTTCTTCCTGTTCTTTGTGGCAGCCCACTAAATATCTGCTATCTCTTAATCACTTTGTGCAAGCTGAACATGCTTAGTTTAAGATTCACTAACCTGCTGAAGAGCAAATTACTCTCTGAACTTGTAGGTAGGACACTCACTTGACAGGAGAGACACCTTGGTTCCAGGCTCTGCACCAATTATTGTTTAATTATTTATACAAAGTACAACAGCATGAAGAAGTGAAATTGGGAGCACTCATTTTCACAATATATCAGGGTGCTTTCCTGGTGGTTTGGGCACTGTCCTAGAAGGTGGCTGACATATTCAAATCCATATAGGCAGAGGAGGTAACTAAATCTGGGGCTGTACCCATGCTCAGAAAATCTTGAAGAATTCCTGGTAGAAATACTTATGTGGAGATACTTGAACAGACATTCAATTTATAAGCCCCTTGTCGCAGAGCTCTCAGGTGCCCTGCGACTGAGAGCAGAAATGGCTCGGGAGAGACCCCTAGTGGCAGAAAGGGGGAAGCGTAGCTGCCAGTCACCAGGACTGGGCAGGTGCTGGTTGCCCTAGCAACCAGGGAAACCTAGAGACAGGAAGGGGTGGAGCTTAGCCCTTCTTAAGCCCAGGCAGAAGGCCAGGAGGGCATTTCCCCTCTGGTGGCCGAGGGAGGAGGAACTCAGCCAGAACAAAGGGGAGAACTCTGACGGTCGGAACATCCCCTGTTTCCTGCTGGGGGTTGATGCGCTCTCTCTCTCTCTCTCTCTCTGGTAGGGAGGGATTTGTATTTTTGACCAGAACGGTCTAGTTCTATGTTGTAGCCTGGGGGCTTTGCGTTTTGTGTTTACTGTTTAACCGGAGGACCGGGTGAGGCTATTAGGTGTTGTAGGAGGCCTCATAGGGACTCCACAGTAGCGTGGAGGTTCCTGGCACTGGAGAGGGCACAGCATTGTTTGGGGCGCATTGGCTTAGCCCCGGAGCTAGGGGGTGGCGAGGAGCCCCGGAGCTAGGGGGCGGCGAGGAGCCCCGAGGGTGAGGAGGGGCGGCGAGGAGCCCCAAGAGCAAACGAAAGGCCGAGACATAATAACAGGGCCCAAGTCAGATCACACCAGCACCATCTGCAAGGCTTGGGCTGCGGTGTAGGAGAGGAAAAGGAGCTGCAGGCAGTGCCCCCTGTCATCGGGGCGCAATAAAAAAATGGGCAGCCTCCCACTGATTTCAATCATTTATTAATCAAAAGTAAGATCAAGGCGTGGCAGGCAAGTAAGCAGGCGGTTGGCCCATTGCAGGGGGGCGGAGCCACACTTCCAGAGGGGCTCCACGAGTAAGACTCCTGCTACAATGGTGCATTGGCCGGGAAGCTTTTGTGTGGCCATCCTCACTCTAAAAGGCTGGGTGGTCCGTGTGAAGAGATGACCCCTTGGGTCCATCCGGAGAGTGCGACGGGAGTGGATACCCACGCCAGACACCGAGCCGCAACGGCAAGTCGAGGGTCAGCCCTACCGGACAACACTAAGCCTACGGAACCATGACATAGGAGGAGGGGCACTGGTAACCAACACAAAGGGGGGCGCCCACCCACAACCATGACTTGGGTAGGGATGTGAGGCTACGAGACCCAAGTTGACACTGAGGCAAGAAATGAACTTCCCGCACTAACGGTGGAGGTGATAGTCGAGGGGAGGAAGGTACGAGCTATGTTAGATTCCGGCTCACTACAGACTATGGTACGGGAGGATGTGGTACCAACAAAAGAAAAGGGGGTAGCCGACCAGGTGACAGTGCAGTGTTGATGTGGAGACCCCCTCAAGATCGACAGGGTGCAGGCCACCCTGCAGGTGTGCAAGAAGACCTGACAGATGTTGGTTGGAGTTGCTGAACATTTGCCTTATCCAGTAGTGTTGGGCTGCAACTGGCCTGAATTGTTGGAGGAGATAACCAATGTGAGGCTAGGGGAGAAGGCAGAAGTATTCACAGGCACAACCGAAGCACGCCCTCCCGACGAAAGGGGTGAACAAGAAATGGACATCTCACACCTATGGGAAGACGAGCATTTCCAGCTGGAGCAAAGTCGGGAGCCT